GAGAATTAAACAGATAATTATTGTGTGCAAACGAAATTTTGAATAATTGGTTTGATCTACTATTATACTGTGGAACGTGAAAATTAATTAAATTTAGTATTGAATTATCATTAATCAAATTATTTAAAAGTTTATAAACAAAACATAAAGCCTGATATCTTCTTCTAATTTCAAGTGTAGAAAGAYACAAATAATTTAATGAAATATTGTAATRATCTTGCACATAATYAGGCAGCAACCATTTTATATATTTAAAAAACTTAAACTGTATTGCTTCAAGCCTACCAACATGAATTTTGTAATGCGGATTCCAGATTATCGAATGGAATTAAAATTTCTAAAATCACGACAATAACGTTTTATGCAGCCAAGTGCCTTAWTAGCTCTACAAATGATAAATTCAAGGTGTTGAAGAAAAGTTAATTTACTATCAAGTAATATACCTAAATCTCTCACAGACTGTTTTACTGTAATTTTTGTACTATTAATGAAATAATTCGGTAGGGTTGGAGAGATTTTCCTGCTGAAAACAATAYACTGACACTTTTCAACATTTAAAAACATTTTATTATTTGCACACCAGTCTTGTAACTTATTTAAATCAGATTGTAATACAGAAATGTCACGAGATTCCGAAACTTTTCTAAATATCTTAAGATCATCAGCAAATATACGATAATCACTATCAAAATTATATCCTATATCATTTATAAAAATAATGAAAAGAATTTATTTGCCAAAAAATTTGATAGTTTCGGCGGAATAACAGCGTTTCTAGACTTTTGGATCACGCTATACAAATCGAGACGTCAGATGACCTACCCGTCTTCTCTGATTGGTTTTTGCGTTCGTATCGTTTCGAGTGTTTCCGGGAGCGGTCACGTGACCGTGATCGGTCCCGTCTCGGTGACCGACTTCTCCGTCTTTCTCTACTCAACGAGCGGCGCGATTTCCTGTCCTTATCCCGGTCTCTGTCTCTATCCCTCCTACTGTATTTACTATCTCTGTCGCGACTGCGACGATCTTTATGGGAGTTGCGGTCACGTGATCGTCGCTGTTCTTTCGGTTCCGGTTTGGAGTCGTTGGATTCCTGTCAAAAATTTAGGTCTCACCTTGGGAATTTCTGATTTTTGCAGTTTTGACACCATAACCATTTCAAAGACTGGTTTTAGTGACATGCTTTTTTTTCACAAAAACCGTGTCCGATTTTGATTAAAAAAAATTGACTACTTAATTTATACAGTTACCTGCGATGAAGTGAAAGTCAGGGGTGCCAACCCCTGTATACTCACCCCATGTGAAGTTGTCGTGGTTTCAGTACGGTCTCGACGTTGAAATGCTCTCGATACCACTTACGTCTTTACAATATATTAACAGAGTGAGTTAATATCATACGTTTACTCAAATTATATTTGGTTACTTATAAAATAAAATGAAAAAGAAAAGAAAATACGATTTGACCGAAAATCAAGTCAACTGTCAACCACTTCATTTGTTGAATAAACAACGGCGCCTTGGCAACCAAGGGGCCGTTTTGGTGTTTTTCGCAATAAATAAACAAGGCAGTTGGCAATCACTGTTTTTAATTGAAATGTTTTTGAAACGAGAAAAATTCAGTTCCTGAAGGGTACTTTACCTCGCTTAAATCCATTTGGACTTCTTCATAGTTTGTGTCGGTTTGGCGGCTAGAAGGGCCCTGTTTGTCCTTGGAGCTCCCACGCCAGTCCTGTTAATAAGGTCGTTGATGATCGACTAATTTGCCAAATAATTCGTTAATACATGTAAATCGTCACGTCTGCTGTGCAAATTCCATTATTACCGTTCAATTTTAATGGAATTTGCCTCAATTTTTACACATTTTTGCGTAATTAACAAAATGGGTGTCAACCAAGATTATGGAAAAATGTAACAATTACCGTTGGCTTTTCTTCCGAAGATTCGTCACAATCGTCGTCACTTCCGTAACTGAGAAGAGAATTCATAATATTGAGGGTTTTTATAACTATTTAATCAGTTTTTTGCAATGTAAATAATACAATACTTTCTCACAATTCAAAATGGCAGCGCAACACCGATCTGAAGTTAGTGACAGAGTTGACATTTCTCTTGAGTGAAGTTAGCCACCATGCTATTTTTACGTAAAAAATAACGCTAAATTTGATTTTAATTCAATTTAGAACAGGACACTTTGGCTTTAATTATTATTACTTGATAATTATTTAAAATGACTTGGGTGACAAGTTTTATTCCATTGCCAACCAAAGTGCTGCCAACCGTGATCAGGCAATCCCTACATTTCTAAAAATCCGTCACGTGACCACGTCATTATTACAGAAAACTGTCATTGGCGTTTAAAAATTTGCAATTTTATTAATTCGGTATAAAAAAACTACTACTTGTTGATTTATTATAAATTGAATAATGATTATAAGAAATAAGGCTGTTTTATTGATTTTAAACTTGAACCATTTGCGACGAGATGGCGCGGCCTACTTAATTTTAAATCAAATGAGGTTTAAACTTTCGGTAAGAATAAACGAGTGTAAAGAAGATAATTTGTCATTAGTCGCATTTTCCAGTCGTTTGTTTGGGTTTTGAGTTTGTTGTTTTGGTGTTTTGGGCATGGTTTGGTTTGACTGATTGTAATTGTGAATTTTCTTTGTGTTTTTAATGCTTCGCTTGTTATTAAGCAATGAAATTATTTTCTTGTCCTTTTATTTTCTGTTTGTTGCACAATCTAATTTGGCAAATTAATGACAGCGGTCGATGCCGCTTGAGGTTATTAAAGTAGAGAATGGGATTGCGGGGTAATTTGCAGTTGATAATGTAATAAGTCCCAAAAAGGGTCAAAGAGTGGATGTTTAATTTATAAAAAAATTAAGTCAAAATGAATATTTCGAAAAGAAAATACTTTAAACATTTTTTAAAATAAACAACAGATTTGCATTGTTTCAAAGTTTAATTTTAGCTACAATCCTTGTTATGTATACCTATTTTATAGACCACGCAATGTTATGAACTTTTAGTAGATAGGTTAGTACTCATAACTATTGTTATATTTATTAATTTGTTAATTATGGTTTACATACTTTTTTTGGTCGTTTGTCTGAAGTTATAAACAATGAATTTCTACCACATTTAGATATTTTTAACGGTTCAAATATTATTAATTAATAAATTAAGAAATAGTCTTTAAAAGAGATCTCTTTTAGTTTAATTTAATCTTATTTTTATCATTGTATTTGTCATTATTAGAATTGTATATTTTTTTTATATTTACTTATGGGTTTTTATATGTAACTTTTTATGGCAATAAACAATATTATGTAATACAGATAGTTTTTGTTTTTTGAGAGTGTATCCGTAATATCTATCGATTTTTCACAGTTTTATTATTATTTTTTTTATTTAAAAAAGGAGCAAAATAGAAAAAATACTGTATGAAATCTCGTTTATAAGGCATTGTCGCACTTAGTTCTTTACGGCACTCCGCGTCGTGCGTGCTACAAAATACTTCTTATATGATACGAGTCATAATACACAATTATTACTTTTCTTTAACTACTAACTAAAAATAATTTGATGAAACAAAAAATAGCTTGGTTCAGCAAAAATTATTAAAAAATCATTAAAAATTATCTAAAAAGTACATTGATGCAAAAAAATAATTAATAAAGAATAACTTGATGGAACAAAAAGTTGAGCAAAAAATAATTTCATAAAATAAAAATTGTGGAAAAAATACATTGATGAAAACAAAAATTGTCTGCGGTCACAAAAAATTGAAGACAAAATAGTTTAATGCAACAAACAATTGAGCAAAAAATGCTTTAATAAAACAAAATATTTCTTGCGGTCACGAAAAAGAGAACAAATAAATAACTTGATGAAACAAAAAATTGAGCAAAAATAGCATAGTGTAGTAAAAAATTGTGCAAAAAAGTACATTGTTGCAACAAAAAATTGAACAAAGAATAACAGTGGAACAAAAAATTGAGCAAAAAATTCATTTATGTTAATAAAAATTGGCTGCGGTCACGAAAAATTGAACAAAAATTAGATATAAGCAACAAAAAATTGAGCAAAAATATAGCTTGAAAAATAGCAAAATGTTACATGCAGTCACAAAAAATTGAATAAAAAAAACTTGACTAAACAAAAAATTCAACAAAAAATAGTTTATCTTCAAAAGTTAGAAAAAGGACTTTTTATGACTAAATGACACAAGTAAAAGTTTTAACTTTCAGGCATTTTTTGCTAAAGCTTTTTTATTTTTAAGTAAAGGCTACTGAATTAAATAATTAAATAATCGTTCAGCTTCTCCACATAAACCATAATTTTTACTTCTAATAACATAATATACTATTGCATTCACAAAAAATGAGCAAACAATTTGTGTAAAAAGCACGTTGATGAAACCAAAAATTGTGTGCGGTTACAAAAAGTTGAACAAAAAATTTCACTTTTTTACTATTACTGAAAATACCGTGCGATAAAAAAAATAAATTAGAGTAGGCGGTGATTAAAGTTTTTCAGATGGCAATTCTGATTTTTGACATCAAATGTCAGCGGAAACTTTGACAAGTTTGCGTTTTATTCTTTTTGAGTGAAATAATGTTTACTTTAGAGCAGAAAATTTTTATTGCTGTACAAGAGGAAAATGGTGAATGGTAATTTTTACTTTCAGTTTGTGTGGAAAATTTTCACCCCAGATTCCCAGCCAATGTGTTGCCAACTGTAGAATGTACCGAACTAAAAAAAAAAACTGCGTCCCAGACTCGAACCCGCGACAACTATGATTTATTTCGCCTGTAATCCGGCAGTTAGCACTAACGCAATTTTTTTTCCCAAATAAGTAGGATAAGGAAAGTCGTGTGATGTTCACACCAGATTTTTTTTTATTTGACCGATTCTATGCTACATGTTTAGTCCTAACATTATAAAATTATAATTTTGATAGACTTGGCAACATTGAAAAGAATAGTAGATATGAAAATTGATAGTTTTACAATGTTGCAATGCTGCCAACTGAATTTCAAATCACAGGCGACTTGATTAGAAATTAAGCTGAACAATTTTTTATACAATTGCACTTTTATTTCTTGTTCATTTTCCAATTTTCAATAAACTTCTTCTCTCTCTCAATCTGTCCAACTCTTTTGTGTGTATTGAATTCCGCCGTCGGCGGCGTCGCGACGCCGCTCCCGGTTCCTATTCGGACGCTGGGTAAACATCGATCTTGAGATGCGGCGTGTTGATTGGACCTTGCGACACCTGACCGTTGCTTGGCAACACGGGTGCCTCTGGAGGGCGTCGACGTTGCTAGGTGACGTCGGCACCCTTCGCGTCGTCATCCCTCCGACCCCGTGTCGCGGCGGTCCTGCTTCCCCGATTCCCGAATAACATTCAACTGCTTCCTAACGATCCTTCGAGCTGTGATTAAAAAATTCTGCAAGGATTAAACTTCTTGATAAACAGAACGCGGCTTCCGAAAGGGTGGAAAGGGGATGAAATTTCACCCAAACGAGGGGTTGAGACCTGAAAAGAGTTCAAAAGTTACGTAATAAAGCCAAGAAGGAGACAGATTTTACAAACTTTATTGTACCAATATTACATTCGATTGTGATAAAAAACTGCAAAAATACAACTGAAACCACTAAATTAATTTAATTTTTCTAATTTAGTCACTAGAGTAAAGTATATTTTATTTTATTTGCCAACTTAATTTGTGAATCAAATTCTAAATTAGGTATTGTAAAAAATATTGTTTACCACACATGTGGTATTCTATTGCCTACAATTACCACCAATTTTTTTAAGTTATTTTTTTTTTTTTGTATAGGGTGTCCCTGCGAGTTGGTAAAGTCCAATATTGACCTTTAAACGATAAAGTTTTAAAACATGTTTATAGGAATGATAGATGCTAATCTAGTCCACCGCTTAAAATTATTTTCAACTATATAACTTGTGTTTTTTTAAATGAAACACCATATGTTTCTTAGCGTTTTTGAATGTAGATTTTTATGACAATGTTTTTCAGCTAAACTTATATTGGGCGATTTTGCTTAGTATTAAAAATTAGACGGTTTTTTTGACAAAAACATGCACTTTTTCAAAATTTATTACATAGTGTGTTGCATTTGCAAAGATAAAAAAAGGCGGTTGTTAAAAGTTCAATAACGTAAAAAAATTAAATGAAACACCCTATTTATTGTTTTTGCATTTAAAAGATTATAAAATTGTCTTTCTAAAATTATTTACTTTTAGGTGTTTATAATCAATAACTAAAAAAATATTTAACGTTAAACATTAAAAAAATAATTACTATTGTTTCAGTAGCCAAAAAGTGCACAGTTTCACAAGAGATGTAAGAAATATCAGTTAATAATCACATTTGTGTTAAACTGAATCCATTATTTTTTATTTTTACAAAAAATAATTCAAATTTCAGTTTTTATAACGACTTTTACAATCTTTAGATAAATCATATATTGATAGGCATGCTACATTTAATATTGAATGTTAAATATCTTTTCATTTATTAATTCTAGATATTAAAAGTTTATTTTTTTAGATAGACAATTTATTAATCTATTAGATGCAAAAATAAAAAGTAGGTTGTTCCATTAAATTTTTTTAAGTTATTTAACTTTCAACAAACCTCTTAATTTTTTAATCTTTACAAATGCAAAACACCAAAAAATTGCTACAGCTTTAAATTCTGTACTTTCTTCTTTGCAGAAGTAAGAAAAAATTTGTTTTAGCTGTTTTAGTTTTTGTGTAATAAATTTTTAAAAAGTGCATGTTTTCGTCAAAAAAACGAAGCAAAATCGACTAATAAAAGTATCCAAGAAATGCTAAAAACATATGGTGTTTCAGTTAAAAAAACACAAGTTTATATTGTAACTTATTTTTGGGACACGCTGTATAGTTGAAAATAATTTTAGGCGATGAACTAGATTAGTATCTATTAATTTCCCATATACATATTTCAAAATATTATTGTTTAAAGTTCAATATTGGACTTTACCACCTCGCTAGGACACCATGTACAGGATGCGCCAGAACTCGCACACCAGAGAAAATTTTCAAGTAAGGTAAGATACCAGGAACATGAAAAAAATGTTTAAAAAATTCCATCTGTCAAAAAAAATTGATATTTGACATCTTTTTATATCTATTTAAGGATACTGATGATCTTGTATATGTTTTTTTACAATTATTTAGTAAAGGGACAAAAATT